TGATTATTTAATAGTAGTCTCTGGGTTGTCATTGTCTTACCAAGAGTCAGAATTAGACTCACAATGATTAGCACAGGAACTACATACATACATACATACATACATACATACATACATACATACATACATACATACACAGATATAAAATACAGGTACATTAATCCCCAGGTGGTAACTGTACCTGTATGATGGTGATTCAACCTAGATATGGACCAATACGTGTCTAGAACATATTGAACCTTGTGTCATATACCCAGGGTCAAGGAATCAGCGTTGACCCCTTACAGTGCATCATTATACCATCATTACACTTTTAATATTGGTATTATCAGCCCGCCAGTACAGACATGTCGAGAGATTAGACCACACACACACACACACACACACACACACACACACACACACACACACACACACACACACACACACACACACACACACACACACACGCCTTCCTGTATCTGGGTACATGTCCCAACACACACCCGTTTCCGGTACAGCAAATTACAGTCACTAGAATCCATATTTTAGCAGAGGACATGTCTGGCTGCCTTACATAACCCGGATTAAACCATCTGGATGCTATGTATGGTTTATGTTATGTGGGTTTATATTGGTTTACCTTGAATGTTTTATCAGGTGGATATTGTGGGGGTGTGTATTTTATCTCATTAGGGTTTTGGATTTTCCTGTATTTTCCCGATTGACCTCAACCCTTTCACCTCCCTAACCCATCTGTCCACTTACCTACCTAGCCACTTACCTATCTATCCACCTGCTTCACCCAATCACCAATCCACTTCCCTTAACCTAACTAACCACCAATCCACTTCCCTTAACCTACCTATCCACCTACCTTATCCACCAATCCACTTCCCTTAACCTACCTATCCACCTACCTTAACCACCAATCCACTTCCCTTAACCTACCTAACCACCTACCTTAACCACCAATCCACTTCCCTTAACCTACCTAACCACCTACCTTAACCACCAATCCACTTCCCTTAACCTACCTATCCACCTACCTTAACCACCAATCCACTTTCCTTAACCTACCTATCCACCTACCTTAACCACCAATCCACTTCCCTTAACCTACCTATCCACCTCCTCTACCCCAACCACCTAGCCGTGGGTCTGAGGCTATGAACATCACCTGGACATCCTCGCCAGTTGGGGCATAACTCACCCCCTAGAAGGGAACTCCCAGATTATACCCCAGATAAAGACCCTTGATTCTGGGTCATCCGGCTGTCTGCGGTTATCCGGACCTGTTGTAGCCAGATGATAAGTTCCCCGTCCGGCGCCATAAGTCTGTTTCGGCCGCAATAACTGGAGCGTTTAGAGGCAGCGGTGTGACTTAACTGTCTGATGATAAGATGTTGCCGTCACACCCTCTAAGATTACGAGTCGATCCCCGTGAAAGAATTGAATCGTCCTTCTGATCCTAAAGTTCGAATCTGCTATTATCGACTCCATTCTTTGTCTTGCTATGTTTATATTTATACGTTAAATCACTATAGTTCCTGTTTTAATCCCCAAACTAAGGACTACCTCGAGAGAAATTCTTGCCAGCTGGTTTAATGAAATATCTTTAGTTGAAAACACGGTCACACATAAACAAACGCCTCCATTTTTAAAGCCTCCACGAAATAGTAGTTCCTGATGTACGATAATTCCCCTCCAGTGATCTAACCTGTCGTTGACTGGGGTAAAAAAAAAAGGTATGGTTCCCGTGTGGTGTTGGGGCTGCGACGTGCTATAAACTTCTTAAGGCAACAAGTCGCCCATATTTTAAGGGAGTAATTAATAGCCATAACCTGTCACCCCCGTCGTCGTCTTTGCCTGCTGCTGATGCTGTTCCTGCTGTTCGTACTGCTGTTAAACTGCTGTACTTGCTGCAGCTGCTGTGAATGTAAAAGAGCTGAGGACCTGGATCCTTGAAGGTTCTTAAGTATATATTATCCTCTCCCTGGCTGGGGGATGAGAGAACGCATCTAGTTACGTCAGAGTGTGAGTGTAGGTTCACCGTCATTATCGCTGCCCTCTTTGTGCTGAGACTTGAGTGAGCCGGATGTGTTCTCAGCTTCTCACATCTCCAGGTAGAGGAAGGAAAAAACAACAACAACCATCTTACCAGTTTTTGAACCTCGGAGCCCATGAGTTAAGACAGGTATCCCGTAGGAGATTTGTATCAGTTAGAATAGTGACAGATTGTGTTGGTGGAATATTGCCAGGGGGTGTAAGAACAGTGCTAGGGTATAGGGGACAATTCTCGCGGCTTGGGACCCCAGGACCACAGTGGTAGTGTAAAAGATTGCAAGATTATTAGAGTGCAAAGCCGGAGCAGTGCCATCGTGTTAAGGAACCGTGCCAGAAGGTAATGTTAGATGAAGTGTACCAAAATGTCGAGGAAAAGTACAATAGTTTATGACAAGGAACAGTGCCAGAGTGTAAAAGAAGATTAAAGGAGAGCAAGAGTGTAGAGGCGGAACAGTGCCGCAGTGTTGAGGAATAGTGCCAGATTGTCCCAAGTACAGTGTCAGAATGGAGGAAGAGTGGCAGAGTGTCAAGAGGTGGCACTATGAAGCACTATGGCGTGTGGTGTTATCGGGTAAGGCAGCACCACTAGCCAGACCACCACCACTACCACCACTATCTCCACTAACACTCACCATAACCTCCACCACTACAACCACCACAACCACAACCATCATAACCACCACCACCACAACCACCTCCACCACCACAGCCATCATAACCACCACCACCTCAACCACCTCCACCACCACAACCACCTGCACCACCACAACCATCACACCACCACAACCACAACCAACACCACCACAGCCTCCACCCACCACACTACAACCACCACACCACAACCATCATAACCACCACAAACCACCACAAACCACCACCACCACACCACAACCACCTCCACCACCACAACCACCAACCACTACAACCACCACCACAACCATCACAACCACCACCACCACAACCACCTCCACCACCACAACCACCTCCACCACTCACAACCACCTGCACCACCACAACCATCACAACCACCCTCCACCACCACAACCACCTCCACCACCACAAACTACCACCACCACAACCACCACCACCACAACCACCTCCACACTCCACCACCACAAATCCACCCACCACCACAACCACAACCATCACAACCACCACCATCACAACCACCACCACCACAACCACCACCACCACCACCACCTCCACCACCACAACCAGCCCCACTTAATCACACATATACCATTCACATTTTTAACCATAGTCGCGTGAATCATCGGGTATGACTGGCTTAAGTAGGCTTCAGGAACATGGCTATATATATCTCTTAAGGTTAACTCACAGCCTTTTATTATAATTGCCGCCAGATGGGAATTACTGTACCTATATATATATACCTACTGTAACTGTATTTATATATATATATACATGTACTTTATACCTACACCTGTACTTTATACCTACACCTGTACCTTTATATACACCTGTACTTTATACCTACACCTGTACTTTATACCTACACCTGTACTTTATACCTACACCTGTACTTTATACCTACACCTGTACTTTATACCTACACCTGTACTTTATACCTACACCTGTACTTTATACCTACACCTGTACTTTTTATACCCATTTTTACCTACTTTATACTGCACCTGTACTTTATACCATACACCTGCATTTTATACCCACACTCAGCTGTCCACACTTACTTATACCTACACCTGTACTTTATACCTACACCTGTACTTTATACCTACACCTGTACTTTATACCTACACCTGTACTTTATACCTACACCTGTACTTTATACCTACACCTGTACTTAGATTTTATGTCTATATTTTTGTTTGTTCTATTGTGTAAGAGTGAAGTGAGACGTAATGGAGGGAGGGAGGGAAAAGAAGAGAAGAAAGAAGGAAGGGAGAGGTGGAGAGAGAAGGAAGGGAGAAGAAGGGAAGGAGGAGAAGGGTTTATCATATACTTGACACTATCCCTTTCCTTCATCCTAACTCTTTTCTTACTTCTTTCTCTCAGCCTCTCTCTTTCCCTCTCCCACCTCTCCTCTTTCTCTTCCTGCCATAGCCATTACATCCCTTTACCATCCCTTTTTCCCCTTTCCCACACATTCATTCTTCCCTTCCATGAAATCTTCCTCTCACTTCCTGCCTTCCTCTTCCACCCTTCCTCCTCCACCCTTCCTCCTCTTACGGCCTTGACCCCCTCCACCTTGCGAGACACCCCAACACCGGGTCACGCTCCGCTATGTGACCCGGTGTTAATAAGCAGTCTCTTCAGGGTTGTGTTATAGCCGTCACAGATACCCTTAAAAAAATCCCTCGAGATATAATGTTCCCTTAAGTCTTATTTACTTTTTACTGGATTTCAAATTAGTCTTAAGATTTGTTTTTCCTCTTAATACGTTTTTCTTTGCCTTTGGTCCTTATCATTACTTGTTATTTTATTATTATTGTTCTTTCTATTCATTATATCCAAGTCCCCCTCCTCCCTCCTCCTCCTCCTCCTCCTCACCTACCCCAGGCCAACACCCTCCTTCCCCTCCTTCCCCTCCTTCCCCCTCTCCCACCTCCTCCTGGTTCACAACACCCCTCCCTCCCTCTCCCCTCACCTGCACCTGTCACCACCTTCCCCCGTGAGTCCAATAAGGTTGTCTGGCCCAGTGTTTGTGGTGCTCTGGAGACCTAACGATGGCACCCGCTACTCCCCCTCCTCCTACTACTACTACTACTACCACCAACCACGACCCACCTACGACGACCCACCTACCACGACCCACCTACCACAACCACCATTCACCACTCGGGGTATACCTGCCTACCACCCCCCCCCACACACACACACACACTAGAGTCGGAACGTTTTAGGGATTCTGAGGCGTCGGAACGTTTTAGGAGATGATAACGACCCGCCAATACGACTTCCTTGTTTCTTTACAGTGTTGTGGCCGCAAGCGAGGACGATTTATGGTAATATATTGATATTTGTGTTCTAGTGAGTTTAATGAGGATGATCTGTGACGTTCCTTCTTCTTCTTCTTCTTCTTCTTCTTCTCCCTCCTCCTTTACCCTATTTCTTCTATTTTTCTACACTTTCATTTTATCTTATCCAGTCTCCATTTCCCTTCATTACCCTTCCTCTTCTCCTCTTCCCCTCTCTCCTCTCCCCTCCCCTCCCTCCCCTCTCCTCTCCTCCTCCCTCCCTCCTCCTCCCCCAGCTTCCAATTCACACCCCACCTTCCTCACCTCCATCATTGATAACGGTAATGCCAAGGTGACAGCGATGATAACTGTGGAGTCAAGGTGATGTCATAACTAACGATCACTGTAATGACGATAAATTAGCGGACATTACAGCCTTTGAGTTAACCAAGGGAAATGACTCGAGAGATATTATCATTGCATAGAGTAAAAAAAAAAAAACGACCCCATGATATCATCCCGACCAATCAGAATGCACAAAAAACTCAATTTGACAACGTCCCGACCAATGAAAACTCCTCCAGACATCCTTTTGACATTTTCTCAATAAATCCGTAAGATTCTTGTCTTTGTTTCCATCAAAGGAAGTTTGTCCATCGTCAAAATAGTTCTTTTGATAATCGTCTCGACCAATTAAAATGGCTCGTGAGTTCTTGCCGACCACTCAAAAGGTGGATTTTACTATAGTGGCCAACAGGATGGTTTGCACATCAAGTATTGCTTAAAACAAAGGCCGTTCACACACACACACACACACACACACACACACACCTTGTAAGGTACCTACCCCCTCCCATCATCTAAGGTACAGTACCTCCATCTCCCATGATATCATCTCCTATATAGCATCTTCCTCTCCCACGTACTCTCCTCCTCCCCCACCATACCTCCGTCCTATCCCACATCCCACTCCTCTCCATCCTCCCATATCCCACCCTCCTCTCCCCATACCACCGTCCATCCCACATCCCACCTCCTCTCCCACCATACCACCGTCCTATCCCACATCCCACCCCTCCTCTCCCCACCATACCACCGTCCTATCCCACATCCCACCCCTCCTCTCCCACCATACCACCGTCCTATCCCACATCCCACCCCTCCTCTCCCACCATACCACCGTCCTATCCCACATCCCACCCCTCCTCTCCCACCATACCACCGTCCTATCCCACATCCCACCCCTCCTCTCCCACAGTGTTAGCGGCGCCCGTCACGTCCGCATGCCGACACAGGACCCACTCTGTCCTTCCCCGCTGCAGAAATCAAATATCAAACCTTGTGACCCGACTCACAGGATTCAGATCGCGTCTGCTTAGCCTCACAACCCATTAAGAGCTCCGCCGCCAGCCAGCCAGCCACTCTCTCCTCATCCACCGTTTTCTGTGGCTTTCTTAGTCATCATACAACTTACGTTTTCTGTGGCTTTCTACTCATATATCCCCTGTTATTGGTGGCTTTCTGCTTATATATCCTCCGTTTTCTATGACTTTTGTTTGCTAATATCTCGTTTTCTATGGCTTTCTGCTTATAAATATATCATTTTATGTGTTCTGTTCCTTGTGGATATATAAAAGCCAGCAAGGTTTGAACTAATTTGCACTTCTTACTTTCATATCACCGCACGTAATAATGTTTTAAACAATGTTTTATTTGTTTACACCGCAATTCTGTTTGTTTGTTTGTTTTTTTTTGCAATATTTACAGTCGTCCACCACTCCTTCACATCTGGATCGACCGTCTTGAAAGATATCTCATGACATTACAAACCAAAATCAGTCAATATTCATCCATTTTACCAAGACTGTCACAATATTAGGAATTCTCACCTAACGTGACTTTACCCACAAGAGTTACAGAGAGAGAGAGAGAGATATATAGTGTTTGTGGTATTGTAGTGTTGTTGTTGTAGGGGATCAAATATCACACTACATTAAAGAATAGAGTTTCTAGCCAGCTGTTCCTCCTGGTATACAAACAAGCCCTGAGGGAGTCTCCACGGGGCAAAAACCCACATAGACTGATCTGGAATTCGTGCTGTTTTATCCATTAACGGAGGGGAGAAGGTATAGTACATGTCCCCCTCCACTTGTGTAACATCTACTGCAGGTGGACAATCACTCACCCCTCTCTAAGTGGCTCAGAGGTTTGAAGGGAGAGAGGGAGGAGAGGGGAAGGGAGGGAAGGAATAGAAATGGAAGAGGATGTGGAAGTGGAAAAGAGAAGTGTGTTTAATCCTACAGAGGTAAATGTAACACTGAAATACCGATTGAGAAAGCGAAGGTAAATGAAGGCATATGAAAAAAGGAAGAATAATTAACAAAAGAGGATGACAAGAAAAGTGAAAAGAAACTACAAAGATCAGAAAGGGGAACGACAACACTGGAAAAACTATGAAAGGTGTAACGAGGCTGAGAGAGAACAAATTAAGTCAAGAGAATAGAGGATAACGAGGTGAAACGAGGAAAACAAGTCAGAGAAGAGAATGATTAACAGGTGAAAGGGAGAGAGAGAGAGAGAGAGAGGTGGGGTACTGGGATGGGGCGGGGGGGGTCATTCCGTGGGCACCTTTGAGCATCAGGGAGGGCGTGGTTGGCTGCCTGGCCTCGGGGGTGACGGCGTGGATGATGTACTTCTACGTGTGACCTGATCTACAGCTTACACACATGAAGCTAGTAGACCAGGTGAAAGGTGGAGAAAATCTGGAATAATGAATGTAGGAGGTGAAGGATCGGGATGGTGGATACTTTCTCTCTTCTTCTTCCTCCCTCCCTTCTTCTTCTTCCTCCCTTCTTCTTCTTCCTCCCTTCTTCTTCTTTCTCCCTTCTTCTTCCCTTCTTCTTCTTCCTCCCTTCTTCTTCTTCAGACACACATGAAGCCGAATTCATGTTTAAAGGAGGAGAAAATTTGACGTAATAAATGTGGGAAAGGAAACTAAGGGGTGAGGAGTACATACCTCTTCCTCTTCCTCTTCCTCCTCCTCCTCATCCTCCTCCTCCTCCTCCTCCTCCTCCTCCTCTCAGGGCTGTTGTCTCAGAATCAGGTGGTGAGAGAGAGCGTAATAAGACAAAGCATGTAGTCCTGGGAGATGGGTGTGGTCGCCTTGCTAGTCTGATGGGGAGGGTGTGAGTGGGGGGGGTGGGAGAGGGTCGTACAGGAGGGGTAGAGAGGGAAGTGTAGTAGAAGAAGAAGAAAGTGGGGGAGACGAGGAAGGAGGAAGACCATGGTAATGATATGAAAGTGATAAAGGAGGAATGGGAGAAAGGATAGGGAGGTGAGGGAGAGTACGTGGTAGGGGACAAGATAGGGTAAGAAGTAAAACAAATAAATGGTGATAATGAGACATGTAAGTACAAGGAAAAAGAAAGAAACAAGTAGACAATGAGGACGTAATTAGGCAATAAAAAAAAAACCAACAGGTAATAATTAAATAAAACAGAAGCAGCCAGAAGTGTGTGTGTGTGTGTGTGTGTAGGTGTATGTGTGTGTGTGTGTGTGTGTGTAGAAGGGAGGGGAGCTGCATAAGTGTGTGTGTGTGTGTGGGATGGGTTATATTGGTAAGAGGTGAAGGAGGTGTATTGTGGGGTTGGGTGTAAGTGTAGAGTCACCTGAGGCAGTAAATTACACTAGTAACTGTTGATACTGTAGCCGCGGTGCCCTGCAAGAGCCAGCTTACTTACACCCAGAGGTGGAGATATCACAGCCTCGCCAGGGAGAGAGATATGACAGAAGCGTCTGGTCTATACTCTCTGATACTCAAGTGCCAGACCACGACGACGAGGAGGAGGTGAAGGTGAAGGAGGAGGAGAAGGATGAGAAGGAGGAGGAGGAGAGGAAAATGGAAAAGGAACAAGAGGTCAACTAGAAACAAAGAAGGAAGAGAACCACAGTAACACGAAAGAGTCCTCCCTCCCTTTTTCTCCCCTTCCTCTTCTTATCATCTTTCCCTCCTCTTCCTCCTTTCCCCTTCTCTATTTACCTTCCCTACTCTCTCTTTCTCAACCCATCCTTCAGTTTCTCCCTTCTCCCCCACGTCAACCACCTCCATATGTGTGAGGTTTCTTCCACGTTACTCTTACTGATGCCATTAATTCTCTAGTGCTTTCACGAGCATCTGGTTCACTGCTCCCTCCCTATCCCCCCTCACTCTCTCTCTCCCTTCATCCCCCTCACCTCTCTCTCCTCTATCCCCCCACCTCTCTCTCCCCTCTCTCCCCCACCCCCTGCTGCCACTCTACTACCCGTCTCCTTTTGTGTATTCATTTGTTTGTTTATATGTTCATTCATTCGTTTATATGTTTATGGCCAGCGTTAATGCTTCAGGGAGTATCTTAGGAATCGTAAGTTTCAGTCGTGTTTCCATCTGCCTTATTTATGCTTTGCCGGTCGCACTAAATGTCGTCTGTGTGTCAAGAAGTGTCGTATATATTTGTAACTGTGTCGTTATATGTTTTAAACACATTTTCACTTTAAAAAGTCTCAATTTCTTCTTTTTTATATATTTTATCTTAGTATAAATATTTATATATAATTTTTAAAAAATGTTAAATTTATAATGTAGCTATTTACAAGGTTTTTTTTTAGCGAGTATCAAGGCCCCCACTGAAAATTGGCGACCACTTTAATTTTGATCGATTTTAAATGCTGCAATTTCTTACGTGTTCTGTACTTTATTCTCCTCGTTGCATTATTATAACCGGTTTGCGTGTACGAATATAATATATACTAGACAACAGTAGGATTTTCGCTGATAGATTATTGTATTCGTTGTTGATATTGCATTACTTGCAATGTGAAGATAATAAGATCCGGGAACTTTATCAACATTGCATTATTGTGTTATCGTGTACATTAAGTGTAACCAGTTCAGTGTGCAGGATAAAGATAGGAATTGAAGTGAGACTAGCAATCCACTTTGGGACCTATAATTGTCCACCCAGTGTTAATACCCACTATGGTTCACCCTCTGTTAGTATCCGATATACTTC